ATTCACTGCACTGCCATATTGCAAACAGCCAATACCTGATATGACCCAGAGTGAATAAAGCAGTGTGGGAATCAATGTCTTTCCACACAGCCTCCCATGCTGAGACACATGTGACTATACAGCTAATTTGTGGCTAAATGAAGGCTTTCCATTAGACCTCTTCGACTGAAATGAAAGTCTAATCGACATAAGGGATGTTTTACAGACAAGAAGAACAGAGGCAAGACTTTTGTTTCAGAATGGATCAAGCTGGATTAACCCAAGCAGGAAATAGCAGCGGAAACAAGAAAACCGAAGACAGATGCGAGGAGTCTACCAACTCTGAAAGCCAACCGGCATCTCCCGCTCCATGCCATCTGCTTTAGCTGGCAGCCTCTCCTGCCAGAAATTTCAGGGTCTGAGAAGCTGCTTACTCCGTGTTGGTGTGAGGGGTGTTTACTTTTAAATAGTGGCTGCCTTCTTTGACTGCTTTTAAAAATAGGCAAATATTCTAAAAGCAGAAGGATGAATCACAGGATTGGGCCAAAAGGAAAGTGACTCAGGCAGGCTAGTAGCACAGCTGTTGCACAAACATTTGGCCAAATCATTGTAAAATATTTCCACCACGATGATGGGTCCGAGACCCTGAGAGTGCTCAAGTTTATTGTGACAATCCCAGAAGCACACAGCAGACTGCATTGTAGCTGTACCAAGAGACCCCTGGCATATTTAATTGTTATTTTTTCCCCAATAGAGAGAAAAAGAGCAGTTACTAGATGCATTTATAATGTGACAAAATCCTCAAAGACTGGATTTTTATTATGACTTAACTGCCAGGTATCTTACTGTCTACTGTGTGTACAGTAAGGACTCAGACTCAATGTTGAATTGGAAAATCACCTTTTCCTAGTTTTTAATGCGCTGAGAAAATAATATCAAAGCAATGTGGACTTCATAGACCAGATGAAGTCAGGGGTGAATGGTAGTGGTAGACAGTTCATCTGATGAGCATAAGGGCCTATGACCAATTCCCAGCACAACCTAACAGAAAGAGCAACCAAAGTCTTTCCTAAGGAATTTCTTCTTTCTTTTGAAAAACAATTTCAAACATTTTTGTCTGCTTTGTGTATGCGTGTTTTAGCTGTATGCATGTCTCTGTAGCACACACATGCCTGCTGTCCACAGAAGCCCAGAAGAGGGCATCTGATCCCCAGAGACAAGCATTACAGATGGTTGTGAACCACCATGTGGGCTTTGGGAATTGAACCTGGGTACTCTGGAAGAGCAGGCAGTGCTCTTAACCACTGAACCATCTCTCCAGCAAGAATAAAATACACAAAGCAAAGAGTTGGAAATGAGAGGAAAAAAAGAATTTTTAATATACAGATGTTCAATGCCTGTTTGGCAGTTGTGATGTGACTGAGCCATCGTGGGCCTAAGATAGAACTTTGTTGTTGGTATTCTAGCCACACCGACGCATCACAGTGCATTTTATGAGATAGGCTCATCTCAGCATCTACTGAGCAGCTGTTGGCTGGTTTCCAAGGGCATTCTTTTCAGATTCCCTTAAACCGTTTTATCAATGTTTCTCCATGAAACAGATAAAGGAAGTCCACTGAGTCTGTAAGCCAAAGCCTCGATGTTATCTAGGAATTAGCGACTTCGTCCGAGTTATGACAGAATGCTAAACTGAAGGCACTGAGCGTGCATCTGGCCCAGTTCACTGAGAGTGGAGTAAGGAACAAGCCCGAAGAAGGAGGGACTCTATAAAACACCATGACCAGTGGCCTTGTGGGCTGAGGTGTCTCCCAGCCCAGGGTTCTTTCCACAGTAGCACTCTGCGGTTCACCTTCTGGTCAATGATTTCCCAGACTTGTAGTTCATAAACCAGAACAAATTCTCCTGAAATATTGGAAGTCATACCTTAGATTGCAGGCAGGTTTTTTATTTGGCTTGTGAAGATGATTCAAAAACCATTACTGTACATTCTAAGTTTCCCTGTATATCAGAAAGTTTTAATATAAAAATAAAATGAAACTTAGAATCAAGGGGTGGCCATCATATTGGTAAATTTTAGCTTTGTATGCTAAATCAACGTACTCTAAAACCCCTTTGTTACATCTGTTTTTATTTTGTTTCAAGTGAGAGAGGTGAAAAATCAAACAGTTTTGCAAACCAACATTTGAGAATTGCTATCTTAAACACTCTCTTGATTGGGCAATATTTTTACTGGACTTTGGGGTCAATTATTCCTGCACAGACACTGTTTTCATGATAGATATAACTGGGGTGTAGACTTGAAGACACTAAACCCTTGTTCTAAAGACCTCCAGTTTTCATACAGGGAGCCCAGAAGAAGAGGATCCACATTTAGAAGATACTCTCAAGCCCATCCCACACCCCATACAGAACACAACAAGCTGTCCTGTTCTGAATCATCTGAAAAACTCTGTTTTGTGGGCTAGGGGGGATAGCACAGTTGGTACAGCACTTGTTGTGTAGGCACAAGGGTCTAAGTTTG